CAAAATTCCACTGGTATTTTTCAAAGAGCTGGAACAAATAATCCTAAAATTTGTATGGAACCAGAAGAGACCCTGAAACGCTAAGGAAATGTTGAAAAACAAAAATAAAACTGGGGACATCATGTTACCTGATTTCAAGCTTTACTACAAAGCTGTGATCACCAAAACAGCATGGTACTGGCATAAAAACAGACACATAGACCAGTGGAACAGAGTAGAGAGCCCAGATATGGACCCTCAACTCTATGGGCAAATAATCTTCAACAAAACAGGAAAAAATATACAGTGGAAAAAAGACAGTCTTTTCAATAAATGGTGCTGGGAAAACTGGACAGCTATATGTAGAAGAATGAAACTCGACCATTCTCTTACACTGGACACAAAGATAAACTCAAAATGGATAAAAGACCTCAATGTGAGGCAAGAATCCACCAGAATCCTAGAGGAGAACTTCGCAGTAACCTCTTCGATATCAGCCATGGCAACTTCTTTCAAGACATTTCTCCAAAGGCAAAAGAAACAAAAGCAAAAATGAACTTTTGGGACTTCATCAAGATCAAAAGCTTCTGCACAGCAAAGGAAACAGTCAAGAAAACAAAGAGGCAACCCACGGAATGGGAGAAGATATTTGCAAATGACGATACAGACAAAAGGTTGATATCCAGGATCCATAAAGAACTCCTCAAACTCAACACACACAAAACAGATAAGCATATCAAAAAATGGGCAGAAGATATGAACAGACACTTCTCCAATGAAGACACACAAATGGCTATCAGACATGAAAAAATGTTCATCATCACTAGCCATCAGGGAGATTCAAATTAAAACCACATTGAGATATCACCTTACACCACTTAGAATGGCCAAAATTAGCAAGACAGGAAACAACATGTGTTGGAGAGGATGTGGAGAAAGGGGAACCCTCTTCCACTGTTGGTGGGAATGCAAGTTGGTGCAGCCTCTTTGGAGAACAGTGTGGAGATTCCTCAAGAAATTAAAAATAGAGCTTCCCTATGACCCTGCAATTGCACTACTGGGTATTTACCCCAAAGATACAGATGTAGTGAAAAGAAGGCCCATCTGTACCCCAACGTTTATAGCAGCAATGGCCACGGTTGCCAAACTGTGGAAAGAACCAAGATGCCCTTCAACAGACGAATGGATAAGGAAGATGTGGTCCATATACACTATGGAGTATTATGCCTCCATCAGAAATGATGAATACCCAACTTTTGTAGCAACATGGACGGGACTGGAAGAGATTATGCTGAGTGAAATAAGTCAAGCAGAGAGAGTCAATTGCCATATGGTTTCACTTATTTGTGGAGCATAACAAATAACATGGAGGACAAGGGGAGATGGAGAGGAGAAGGGAGTTGAGGGAAATTGGAGGGGGAGATGAAACATGAGAGACTATGGACTCTGAAAAACAACCTGAGCGTTTTGAAGGGGCGGGGATGGGAGGTTGGGGGAACCAGGTGGTGGGTATTAGAGAGGGCACGGATTGCATGGAGCACTGGGTGTGGTGCAAAAACAATGAATACTGTTACGCTGAAAAGAAATAAAAAATTTTAAAAAAAATAAAAAATTTATAAGTCAGATAAGTAAAGACAAATACTTCATGGTATCACTTATATGTGGAATCTAAAAGAAAATCAAACTCATTTAAAAATAGAGTAGAAAGTGGTTGTGGGGGGCTGGGAGGTGAAGGGATCAGGGAGAGGTCTGAGGATCTATTGTATAACATGATGACTATAGTTGATAACACTTTATAACTGAATTTTGCTTAGAGAGTTGAATATAAATGTTCTCACACACACAAGTAATTATCTAAAGTGATAGGTGTTTCAATTAACAAGATGAGAAGAATCCTCTTTTAATGTACATGTATGTAATATAATCACAATGTACACTTTAAATATTTTACAATTTTATATGTTAAATATACCTCAATAAAGTTGAAAAGTAATCTCAAAAAAAAACCATTGTTCATGACTGGCTATTTATAAGGCAAGCATGCTGCCCTATTTCTCCATTTGCCACTGAGTTAGCTCACTGGGGTAGCATGTCCTCACCTAGTGATTTCAGAAAAGTTCAGGTTCAAATTTAGCAGGCGCATCAAGCCAATTTAAGGAAACTCATCTTAGCCACATTCTTCATCTACCTTTATCATGAATGGAAAAAATATTTACACTCATCTGATGTCTGTGTTTATTTCTCAATTTGTTTGGACACATATTATGGAAATGTGTGATTAAATACTATGGTCTTGAAAACTAATATCATGGGATACCACTTACCTATGTGACCAAGCTCTGAGCCCAGAAGATAAACCAGACTTGTATTGAAAATGATTTTTTACCTCTGGTTAAACAAGTCAGAAATCATGGTGTGATAGCAGTTATATAAACTTGAGATCACTGAGCACTTGATAATCACAAGTTAAATTCTATTCCCCCATCTTAGTGCTGTAGGTAGACTAAGAAATTCCCACATGGAGAAAAAAGCAAAGATTAAATCTTAACCAAAGTACATAAATCTCCTAGATTTAAACTGATGAATTAGTAGCATAGGTTATGGCAGAATCCAAAAATCAGAGAAGCTAAATATTTTAGAAATCTGAAGTTAAACCATAACCATAGGGTGAGGATTGCTGCCCAAATGCTTTTGCCTGGTTGAAATTTGGAAGACCGCTAAACATTTTTGGTCCACATGGGGAGTAAACTTAGAGAATTTCTCTTTTAGCACTCTAAGATCTTGAGATACCCATGTAGAGCCCTTGAGTTCCCTTCATGGACTCACAGTAAGAGGTTCTGTAATGGAACAGATGATTAACACCAAGAAAAGTCCCTAGAACCAGGCTTTCCCCCAGCAAAGCTGAAGACCCAGATTATAAGGCCATTTTTCCTTTTTCCCTCTTTTCTTGCTTTTACTTTTTCTCCACATTCTCACTTGTTATTCATTTTATATATTGGTAATCTGACTTTTTAAATTTAATCTGATCACTTTATAGTATATTATCCAATTAAAATAATATCATTTATTACTAACAGTATTAATAAAGTATATGTGTATATATACAAAATGTATCACATGTTACTTTTATCTTTATACATTATTTATGATGTACATCTTTCTCAATTTTAGTATTGGAAGGTATTTCTTGGGATATTCCTTGAAATCATCTTGCTGCCTCTGGAGAAGCAGATGCATTTACTTGAACAAAAAGAGTCTTTCAGAAATCAATAAAACTACCTTTGAATGCTAGTTCTATCACTTGCTAGCAATAATTCATTTTTCTAAACTTTGATTTGTCTACACTTCTCCAGTGTAAATTATGACAATAAATATAAGTTGTAGGGATATTTTGAGGTTTATCAGTATTATAAATTCTCAATAAATTTTGGCTTTCATTCTATTTCATTCAGAAATTTAAAAATAAACATTTTAACAGGATAGCCATGACTTTCTTTCATCCTTTGTTCACAGATTCATGCCAAATGTTACCTTTGTATTTTTTTATCTTCACATAAAAATTCTCTTTTTGCATTGTCAGAAGCACCAAATCACCGTATTGGGAGATTATCTGTTAACTAATATTTGTCCACGTGCCAGGAGTAAAGCATTCTAGAATTTGGCATACAGAGAGACGTTCTCTAATGCATTTAACATTTAGAGTAGAATAAAGACAAGTAAAGATGACATTGTAGTTTGATGAGAGTTCTGAGTGCAGGAACTTAGTGGTGATAGGAATCTAATGGGTAAGACCGAACAGGCGTGGTGTAGTGGTGCTGATGGAACAGTAAGACAAAGTAAGCAAATGATTCCTTGTGGAAATGGCATTTCAACTGGAGGACTCCGGGGACTGGGTAGTTGAAAGGGTGGGGCGGGGAGGTGGGGAGGAAATTGCTGCTTATAGACACTGCAATATGAGCAATGGCCTGAAGTAAAAGAAAAAGTATCTAAGGAAGTTTTAATATGTTGAACTGCAGAAGTGGAAGTTGATGAATAATGTATGAGTAATTAAATACTGATCGTTCTTTGAGAGTTATCATTAGGTATATATTTTGGACTCTAGAAATATCTAAAGATTTCATTTTTTAAAAGCAAATCATTTCATTGATATTAATATTCACATTGTAGTTATCATTAGGTATATATTTTGGACTCTAGAAATATCTAAAGATTTCATTTTTTAAAAGCAAATCATTTCATTGATATTAATATTCACATTATAGTCTGTTTCTCTTTTCTCTATTCCTAGTATATTTGGCTTGCTGGTTATTTACTTATCACTTTTCTAGCCCAATTAGTTCTCTTCCACCTCCTGCCATCTGCTTGCTTAATTTAAATACTTACATTCAAGATTTAACATTTCATTTAGTACATCAGTATCAATATGTTTTATGTAGTTTCAATGTCAGCTTTAATTCTTTAACAAGGAGTACCAGTGCATTTCTCTCTTCATCTTAATTTAATTCATGACTGTTTTGGCAATTTTTAAATAACTCTGATATTGGATTGGATTCATTCAATAAAATATGTGAATCTTGGGGTTTTAAAGCTTTATCAGTAAATGCTTTTTTGAAATTTTAAATCTTTATGCTTATTCCTTGTTTTAAAATTCATTTTGAGTTTTGAAATTTTTTTTTGCTGATACACTTAGAAAAAGCATTGATTCTTTTTAACATTATTTCTCTTCTAGAGTATGTTTTTTGTGGAGGAATAATGTACACTATTGCACCAATATTTTATGACTATTTTCCCAATCCTTTCAGCATTGGTAGGGAAGTTTGAGAGTGAAGTCACGCTTAGATTTCCTGAAACAACTATTCTCATTTTTTTCTTAATAAAGATTATCATTCTCAAAAAAGTTGACTTATAAGGAGATGTAAAGGGTGACTTGATCAGCGGCAGTACTGAATGGAAACCCAAATCTACATCAAGACAAAATAGGATAAAAACTAAAGAAAACATGCTTAGGGATCAACATTCCTCTAGTTCTTTGAGAGCAATATAAATCTTTTGACTAAGTCATTAAAGGCTTGTTTCACTTGTTTGTTCCTCAGAGTATAAATAAATGGATTTAACATGGGTGAAATGGAAGTAGTGAGCATAAATATGCCCTTATTAATGGCCATTTCATCTTTTGCCGAAGGTTTGATATAGACAAAGATACAGCTTCCATAGGTGATAGAAACTACAATCATGTGGGAAGAACAGGTAGAAAAAGCTTTAGTCCTTTGCTGGGCAGAGGGGAATCTTAGAATTGTTCTGATGATATACAGGTAGGACAAAATCACACACACAAGAGTCATAATGAAGATTAACACAGAGCACACAATAATCATCTGCTCAATGAACCATGTATCTGAGCATGAGATCTTCAGGATAGGATTAGCATCACAGGCAAAGTGGTCAATGGCATTAGAGTCACAGAAATCCAGGTCCAGTCCTAAGCTAAGTGGTGGGAGTATGACCAACAAAGTAGTCATCCAACAGCAGAAGATTAGCCTTTTGCAGACCGTGTGGTTCATGATAATCATGTAATACAGGGGTTTGCAAATGGCTATGTATCGGTCAAAGGACATGGCAGCAAGGAGAAAAAATTCTGTTACTCCAAAAAGATATGTAAAAAAAAGTTGGCATGCACAAGCATTATAGGTAATAGTCCTATCACCTGTTGCTAAACTGTACAAGAATCTAGGAATACAGGCAGAAGTGAATGAAATTTCTAAGAAGGAAAAATTTTGGAGAAAAAAGTACATTGCAGTTTTAAGGTGAGAATCCATTAATATGAGAATGGTGATGGTCAGGTTTCCAGTTATACTCAACATGTAGGTAATAAGTAGAAATATAAAAATCAGAATCTGTAGTTGAGGGTCATCTGTCAATCCCAGAAGGATGAAACTGGTTAGTGACGTATGGTTTCTCATTCCTGGGTCCTGACTTCTGCCCAATTTGCATATAAAACTGAGGGACTCAAGATCTGAGAAGAAGGTGGAAAAAAGTGTGTTACAATGGATTTGCTTAGAAAATCCTAGCAATGCATTTTACATATATTTTGTTTTCCTTGATAATGAATATTTCTTAATAATTCATGCTCTCAGCTCTGCTGACATGTCATCTGATAAGTTTGAAACTTAGCTTTCAGATGTTTTGACCACAATATATGGCAAGATATACATTTTATATTGCAGTCTAATGTACATGCACACACATATACACAAACACACACACACACAAATATACACACAAATGCACACTTGCATATTAGTGAAACAAAAACTTTCCAAAAAATAAAATACTTATCCACCTTGCTCTCTGATGCTTTCTATTCTAACTTATGAAAAATAAATGTAAATATCACCCAATTTACTTTATATTCTACTAAATGATCATGACTGTATTTGAAAAAAATATTTTTTTAGGGATTGTTAAGTAATATAGTCCAAGTAAAACATAATTATTTATGATTTTTAAGGGTACATTATCCTTGTACTTTACACTTTGGAATAGATTTATTCATGACACACTCCCACCCCTTGGGGCAATGAAATCATAAATTTTAGGGTGTCCTTTTTTTCTAAGAATATTTCTCTTATCACTAACTGAAATTTTACTCAGTTTCATTATCTGCTTGAAGCTTTTTTTCCTGGAGAAATTGGAAGCACATGAGGAGTGGTTATGGCACAAGGTGTTTCTATATCCATCTACCAAAGCAACTGAGGTCACTATTCCACCGCCATGAACAACCTATACTGCAAAAGACATCTTACATATAAAAAATCCCTTCCTACATCTTTCCCATGACTTTCTCACATTGTTATTGCCTTTATCTGATTTGTACTGATTGCCCACTTTGGTGCAGAACAGCAACCATTTTAGTACACACCAAATTCACTAATAAGTGAGAAAATGTTCTATACACAACTGAAGAATATTAACCTTAATGTTTTGTAATGCAGTCTGATATTTGTCTGACTGACACATTTAGACAACTTCTTATTAAGTCACTGATGTTATCATCAGCTCTGTGAGTATTAAGTGCATTCACCAATCTGACTTCTATCCTTAGCTGCTTATGATACGGTTTCTGAACACAGCACTCCACTGAAACTATTCTTGGCAAGTTTACCTGTTATTTCTTTAAGTATCAGTGAAGTGTAGTCATTTTATTTGCATTTTTTTGTCAATCAATCACTCCTTTCTTTTTATAATCTTCTTGACACATTGTTTGCACAAAATCCACAATCTGGTTTTTGTTTTGCCCTTCTGTTTTCTCCTTTAAAATTATAAAATTATATAAAATTATCTCTTCCCCTACTCACTTTTATTCCACTGATATTTCTCACACTTCACCCCTAAATCCTCTTCCCTTCTTCTCTATGTGTTTTCCTGGGAACTGCTTAAATCCCATGACTTCAATTTAGCACATAAAATTTTGATATTTCAAAATGTGCATTTTGGATAAGATTTCTTTGAATGTTAAACATATGCCCCTGGCAATTTTACATTCCCTCTAAATGAATTTATTTAAAATGGATTGCCCCATCTTCTGCATCTCTATTGATTCTCACATTCCTTCTTGTTTACAGTACTAAAACCAAACCCAATATTTATTGCCTGGTACTCACTGATAACAAGCTTTATTATTTCCTAAGTTAGCCCTAGCTTGAAATTCCTTTTTTTAAAGATTTTATTTATTCATTTATTTAAGAGAGAGCACGTGTGCACAAGCCGGGAGAGGGGCAGAAGGAGAGAAAGAATTTCAAGCAGACTCCCTGCTGAGCACAGAGCCCTTGGGGGCTTGACCTTCTGATACTGAGATTGTGACCTGAGCCTAAATCAAGATTCAGATGCAGATGTGGAACTAAGGGAGCCATCCAAGCACCCCTAGCCCTATTGAAATTCTATTGACATTGTCAGTACCTTTACATAATTTTGCTATTTCCCTGACTCTAACAACTGGAAGTTGGTTGGGTTGGTTGCATAGAGTTATGAAGAGTGACTCTAAAAATACAGCATAGCAAGAGACAAGTATGCGGTGGTCATCTTACATGGACTACCTGTCTGGAAAAAATTGTCTTCTATTCATCTGTGGTTTTCCCCTCTTAATTACTCCATCTGCTTGCTGATTTTGTACCTGGCTCTTATTGACTCCTTCCTGTTTTCTGCTTAGATGTTTAAAGGAGTCTTCCCAAATTAGGACAGACCACATTAGGACTCTTCTATGTGTTTTGTTATATCCTATACCTAACAGATGATGTAAAAAAAATTGTTGGAAATGGGATTTTTATGTTGTTTAATGTAATAACCACAAAGCTGAAAGAGTCTGAGGTATAGAGTTAATTCAAGACAGTATTTTTTTTTTGCCCTCAGACCTAGATGAAGTTATATTGTTTACTATGTTGATTCAGTATTAAAACTAATCTACATATCTTGAAAGAAGTTGCTGTGGCTGATATCAAAGAGATTACTGCCTATGTTCTCCTCTAGGATTCTAATGGATTCCTGTCTCACGTTGAGGTCTTTTATCCATTTTGAGTTTATCTTTGTGTCCACTGTAAGAGAATGGTCGAGTTTCATTCTTCTACATATAGCTGCCCAGTTTTCCCAGCACCATTTATTGAAGAGACTGTCTTTTTTCCACTGTCTATTTTTTGCTATTTTGTCGAAGATTAACTGACCATAGAGTTGAGGGTCCATATCTGGTCTCTCTACTCTGTTCCACTGGTCTATGTGTCTGTTTTTATGCCAGTACCATGCTGTCTTGGTGATCACAGCTTTGTAGTAAAGCTTGAAATCAGGTAACGTGATGCCCCCAGTTTTATTTTAGTTTTTCAACATTTCCTTAGTGATTCGGGGTCTCTTCTGGTTCCATACAAATTTTTGGATTATTTGCTCCAGCTCTTTGAAGAATACCAGTGGAATTTTGATTAGAATGGCATTAAAAGTATAGATTGCTCTAGGCAGTATAGACATTTTAACAATGTTTATTCTTCCGATCCAAGAGCATGGAATGGTCTTCCATCTTTTTGTGTCTTCTTCAATTTCTTTCATGAGTGTTTTGTAGTTCCTCAAGTACAGATCTTTTGCCTCTTGGGTTAGGTTTATTCCCAGGTATCTTATGGATCTTGGTGCTTTGGTAAATGGAATCGATTCTCTAATTTCCCTTTCTGTATTTTCATTGTTAGTGTATAAGAAAGCCACTGATTTCTGTACATTGACTTTGTATCCTGCCACGTTACTGAATTGCTGTATGAGTTTTAGTAGTTTGGGGATGGAGTCTTTTAGGCTTTCCATAAAAAGAATCATGTCATCTGTGAAGAGAGAGAGTTTGACTTCTTCATTGCCAATTTGGATACCTTTTTTTTTCTCCTTGTTGTCTGATTGCTGTTGCTAGGACTTCTAATACTATGTTGAACAAGAGTGGTGAAAGTGGGCATCCTTGTCATGTTCCTGATCTCAACGGGAAGGCTGCAAGCTTTATCCCATTGAGGATGATATTTGCTGTGGGTTTTTCATAGATAGATTTGATGAAGGAAACAAAAGCCAAAATAAACTTTTGGGACTTCATCAAAATCAAAAGCTTCTGCACAGCAAAGGAAACAGTCAAGAAAACAAAGAGACAACCCACGGAATGGGAGAAGATATTTGCAAATGACAGTACAGACAAAAGGTTGATATCCAGGATCTATAAAGAACTCCTCAAACTCAACACACACAAAACAGATAATCATATCAAAAAAATGGGCAGGAGATATGAACAGACACTTCTCCAATGAAGACATACAAATGGCTATCAGACACATGAAAAAATGTTCATCATCACTAGCCATCAGGGAGATTCAAATTAAAGCCACATTGAGATATCACCTTACACCAGTTAGAATGGCCAAAATTAACAAGACAGGAAACAACATGTGTTGGAGGGGATGTGGAGAAAGGGGAACCCTCTTCCACTGTTGGTGGGAATGCAAGTTGGTGCAGCCTCTTTGGAGAACAGTGTGGAGATTCCTCAAGAAATTAAAAATAGAGCTTCCCTATGACCCTGCAATTGCACTACTGGGTATTTACCCCAAAGATACAGATGGAGTGAAAAGAAGGGCCATCTGTACCCCAATGTTTATAGCAGCAATGGCCATGGTCGCCAAACTGTGGAAAGAACCAAGATGCCCTTCAACGGACGAATGGATAAGGAAGATGTGGTCCATATACACAATGGATTATTATGCCTCCATCAGAAAGGATGAATACCCAACTTTTGTAGCAACATGGATGGGACTGGAAGAGATTATGCTGAGTGAAATAAGTCAAGCAGAGAGAGTCAATTATCATATGGTTTCACTTATTTGTAGAGCATAACAAGTAGCATGGAGGACATGGGGAGTTAGGCAGTTGGGGGAAATTGGAAGGGGAGGTGAACAATGAGAGACTATGGACTCTGAAAAACAATCTGAAGGGTTTGAAGAGGTGGGGGTTGGGAGGATGGGGGAACCAGGCGGTGGGTATTAGAGAGGACACGGATTGCATGGAGCACTGGGTGTGGTACAAAAACAATGAATACTGTTATGCTGAAAATAAATTTTAAAAAATGATTAATAAAAAAAAAACTAATCTACACCTCTTACTTTTTCCATATCCCTGACTCTAATTTGTTGGCTTTTATATTTCATGGAGGAAATATTCTGAGTGACTCTTAAATCATACTATAACCTGTCAGCCCATATGTACCTTATATAAAGGCAAAAGTTGTTATCACTATGTCTGACACAGAAATAGTTTTCCTTTTATGGTTTCCATTCATGCTTCCTCAATCCACCTATCAGAAACATACTGAAACCAGAGATTAAAGACTCTTAAATTCTGGATTTGGACCAATAGCTGCTCTGGAATTGTTCCTCAGACAATACCAATTAACTCCACAAACGTC